TTTTTAGAGTGGTATAAAATTCAAATGTGAAAGAATATTTTTATATAACTTGTTACTTTTGAGTTTTATGTCCGTAGGTAGTTTTATGTCCTTACTATGCATAGGTTTCATCTAATTACCCATGCTTTTGATTAATTTTCGAGGGAAAAAATCAACTCAAAAAAAATTATATATATATATATATAGGTGAATTAGTAGTGCATGATCATATTTTATTCTTCGAGACCAAGAAATCAAGAATTTCGGTGGGTGCAAGAAATAAAGAATTTCGAGTGGGTGCGTGTCGAATGGCTAGCAATCGAGGGGCAACCTCCACCGCATACTCGTAGACCAAAATTTTTGTGTGATGGGACATTGATCGTTGTCATGTTCCCAACGGTGAAGATGCTAAATCCGTCTCGCAGAACATAGCCTCCTTTTTAATTTAATAATAATAATAAGATTTAATAAAAATTAAAATACATGTATATTATTATTATAATATTAAAAAACAATTTTTTTAGAGTGGTATAAAATTCAAATGTGAAAGAATATTTTTATATAACTTGTTACTTTTGAGTTTTATGTCCGTAGGTAGTTTTATGTCCAGTACTATGCATATGTTTCATCTAATTACCCATGCTTTTTATTCAATTTCGAGGGAAAAATATCAACTAAAATATATATATATATATATATATATATATATATATAGGTGAATTAGTAGTGCATGATCATATTTTATTCTTCAGACCAAGAAATCAAGAATTTCGGTGGGTGCAAGAAATAAAGAATTTCGAGTGGGTGCGTGTGAATGGCTAGCAATCGAGGGGCAACCTCCACCGCATACTCGCAGGCCAAAATTTCGGTGTGATGGGACATTGACCGCTGTCATGTTCCCAACGGTGAAGACGCTAAATCCGTCTCGTAGAACATAGCCTCCTTTTTAATTTAATAATAATAATAAGATTTAATAAAAATTAAAATACATGTATATTATTATTATAATATTAAAAAACAGTTTTTTTATAGTGGTATAAAATTCAAATGTGAAAGAATATATTTTTATATAACTTGTTATTTTTGAGTTTTATGTCCGTAGGTAGTTTTATGTCCGTAGTATGCATAGGTTTCATCTAATTATCCATGCTTTTGATTCATTTTCGAGGGAAAAATATCAACACTCAAATATATATATATATATATATATATATATATATATATATATATATATATATAGGTGAATTAGTAGTGCATGATCATATTGTATTCTTCAGACCAAGAAATAAAGAATTTCAGTGGGTGCAAGAAATAAAGAATTTCAGTTGGTGCGTGTGAATGGCTGGCAATCCAGGGGCAACCTCCAAGGCATACTCGCAGGCCAAAATTTCTGTGTGATGGGACATTGACCGCTGTCACGTTCCCAACGGTGAAGACGCTAACTCTGTCTCGCAGAAAATAGCCTCCGTTCTCGTCAACTCCAACTACGTAGGCGCCGTCTCCATCTTTGCCTACGGCGACATCAACCGCATTCCGCGGCCCATCCAACACGCCCTCTCCAGCATCCCTGCCGGTAATCACGCTCAAACAATGTCTTGTGAACACACGCGCACACATACTCACTCACTCACATGACTCATTTCGCTTGACTGTTTGATTGTCTCTATCAGATGTGAAAGATAGGGACAAGAACATCCTAGTGGACATGTTGATATGGGCACTAGACAATACTGCTCCCGCTAACTACTTGATCATATCCGGCGACATAGACCTCTCCACCGCGCTTCACAAACTCAGCCTGCAAAGTTAAAATATTCTTCTCGCGCATCCGCCACAAGTTTCTCCTTCCTTCTTTGCCGCCGCCAAAGTCATTTGGCGTTGGACAATCCTCTCCGCCAGCTGTGGCTCTCTCTAAGTTGTCAATTCCGACTCTGCTTCCGCCTCTGTTAAACCCACCCTCTCCGAACAGTTGACTCCAAATTGGAAGAGTTGAAGGGATTAGAGTAACAATTAATAATAATAAGATTTAATAAAAATTAAAATACATGTATATTATTATTATAATATTAAAAAATAACAACGAGTAATATTTGACATCTCATTTTTTTTTAACTTCAAATACACTCCTTTTTAATATAATAATAATAATAATAATAAGATTTAATAAAAATTAAAATACATGTATATTATTATTATTATAATATTAAAAAACAGTTTTTTTAGAGTGGTATAAAATTCAAATGTGAAAGAATATTTTTATATAACTTGTTACTTTTGAGTTTTATGTCCGTAGGTAGTTTTATGTCCGAACTATGCATAGGTTTCATCTAATTACCCATGCTTTTGATTAATTTTCGAGGGAAAAAAATCAACTCAAAAAAAAAAAAAAAAAAAATATATATATATATATATAGGTGAATTAGTAGTGCATGATCATATTTTATTCTTCAGACCAAGAAATCAAGAATTTCAGTGGGTGCAAGAAATAAAGAATTTCAGTGGGTGCGTGTGAATGGCTAGCAATCGAGGGGCAACCTCCACCGCATACTCGCAGGCCAAAATTTTTGTGTGATGGGACATTGATCGCTGTCATGTTCGCTGTCGCCGCCGTCTTAAAGAGAGGCGGTCGGAGCGACGCGATGGTTTTTCGACCCTTTTGTTTTTCGCGTTTTTATGGGTGGTTACAACACCTTTAGGTTGTCCGATAACCGGGCTAACCTAGGGGCGAGGTTTTCGAAAGGTGTCCTTGGGTTGTCCGATAACCGGGCTAACCCAAGGACTTATTTATTTTGGGTTCTATGGAGTCGCCACCGATATTTTTACCAGAAACATCGGAAAAGGGTTTTTTTAAAGGCGTTGGTTTTCGAAAACCAACTTTGGTCATTAGAACCAGAGTTGGGTAAGGGAGTTAGTTACGTTGTAAAGGAAGTATTAGGTTATTTACTACGCCCCTTTCGGGTTCCCTATGATAGGCCAACTTTTATTGTTAATAAATAAACCGGAAAATACTCTTTTGCCCTTTTTTTTATTGTACGAAATTTAAAGTTACGACTACGTGACCCTAATCTATTGCATAATTTAAATTAAAGCAAATAAAAGTAGAGGAGAGAAATTAGACCTCCGAAGCAAGCTTTGTTTTATATTAACTCTTTGAAGGAGGGTGCTTTGTGGCAACCCTTCACTCTACAACTCTCAGAAACTCCGGAAATGCCTCGGAGGGATTCTAAAGAAGATTTAGAACGCTCAAAATACTCCTAAAGACACTCACAAACTCCGGAAATGCTTCGGAGGGGTTCTAGAGAGAGAAAATCTAGAGAGAAGGAGGAGCTAATGCTTGAGGTGTGTGGAAATGAGGGGGGGAGGACCCCTATTTATAGGTTTTCGCGCTGTCAGGTGGCGAGACCGCCGTCTCGACCTGCCAAAAGCGGCGAGACCGCCGTTTGGGGAAGTGAGACCGCCGTCTTGCCATTTGCAGGTGGCGAGATCGCCGTCTCGTCAAGCGAGACGACGGTCTCGCCATTTGCATGAGGCGAGACGGCAGTCTGGGAAGTCCAGAGGGCGGTCTCGTCCCAACAAAGTGAAAAAACTTATTCTTTCGTACAGAAACTCCCTCCTATCCTAGTATGGGGCCTAATAGTCTCTCCTAATGGCTTGTTAGGCTTCGTCCATCTTCAAATAGGAGGTCTTCTGGTCTTTATTTGGAGGCCGGACAAGATTTGGGGTCTACAGCTGCCCCCCCTTTACCTGACTAGTCAACTGTTGGTCTGTTGTACCAGACAGATTAACAGGAAGGTAAAGGAGTTGACCCTCTTGCCCGGTTGCCCTTCAGATGTTCCGTCTTTTGTGGCGGATGATCTTCTGGGGAAGTGTTGTGTATTCGTGCACTTCCGGGATACTCCTTCTGACGGTAGCTGATCCCTTCGGTGGACACGTGGTAAAACCTCAGGATACTCATTCTGACGGTAGCCGATCCTTCGGTTGATGGGTATGAACCCCCCATCAGGCTGGTAGTTGCAGTCCGTTGTGTGGGACTGGATGGGTATGAACCCTCCATCAGGCTGGTACGGTCCGTTGTGTGGGACCGGATGGGTATGAACCCCCCATCAGGGTGGTAGTACAACTTACTGATCCGGCTCGAGCGCAGATCAGGCGCAACGCGTGCGCAGGTTGATAGGTATAAACCCCCTATCAGGCTGGTACAGTCCGTTGTGCGGGACTGGATGGGTATGAACCCCCCATCAGGGTGGTAGTGCGACTTACTGATCCGGCTCGAGCGCAGATCAGGCGCAACGCGTGCGTAGGTTGATAGGTATAAACCCCCTATCAGGCTGGTACAGTCCGTTGTGCGGGACTGGATGGGTATGAGCCCCCCATCAGGGTGGTAATGGCGGCTTACTGTTCAGGTGGCCCATGCGCCGGCTCGCTGGGGAGTGATTTTTGTATTGGTAGATGTTCTTGGACTTCTTGGATGGTCGTCCGGGCTGTGCCGGGGATTTTGTTGGTGTTTTCATCCAGCTTTGTTGGTTGCTGGGGATTTCTTTGTTTTTGACTTTTGGTGGTGATTATCCGATCTTTGCTGGTTGGTCAGATGGGTCTTAGTTTTATTCGACTCCTGCTTGGTAGGCGAAATTTTGTTGGCTGAGTTGATGGCTTAATCCTTCCTTTTTCTCGCGGTTTTAACTCTTCTTTCTCGCGGTTTTGGATTTTGGCTTTTTCCTTGGGCGTATGCCTTTTCTTTTTTAAGTTTTTTTTTTTTTTTTTTTGCGCTGGCTTTTGCAAAAGATGGTAAAAAGATGCATGAAATAAAATTTTATTTATGGGGGAATTTCATTACAACCCTATTTTTGGAGTTACTATCCCTAGGGACTATCCTCTGGACCTGACCCTTGGGGAGGGAAATGCTAGTACATATGGTACCGGAAGTCCGCCTGCTCTTGGACTTCATCCTGGTAGTTTTACTGGAATGTCGTCCAACTGTGGCGCATGTCCTGTTGGTGCTGGTACATTTCCCCCAGCCTGGTGTCAAAGGCGTCTTGCCTTTAGGATAGCTGTTCTTGCCTCTGGGCTAGTTGCTCCTGTCTCACAGTCATATGGTCAAACTACTGGCATAGATCGCTCATGTGGCGGTGCATGCCAGCGAAGTCATCCGCATACCGGGGCGGTTGCTGCTGCTGCTGCTGCTGTTGGAAGTCGGGAGGTGTAGGCAGATCCTACATTGCGTCATGGAGTTCCAATGCAAAATCTAGTGTGGGATGGAGGGTCAGCTGGGTCCATCTGCGAATCAGCATTCCCATGCTGACCAAGATTGACCCGCTGATGGATTCGGGTCGCAGGTTGTGGGCCAGCTCTTCCCGGCCAGGGCACCCCAAACTTTCTGCCAGGGGAGTGATGAGTGGAGCCATGAGAACGACCCCCGTGGATCTGTGCCCGAAGTCCTTGAGGGCTTTCAGGAAGAAATACCCGGGGTTGCAGTGCCGCTTCTGACTCATGCAGTACAGTACGAAGAGGTCAGGGAGGGATATTTTGCCCTGACTCTCTTTCCTCCCATGTATTGTTCCTGCCAGCAGCTTGTGGGAGATGCAGAGTGCTGGGGGAAGCGCAGATCTCCTCATCAGCGTGGGCAGTGTGGTGGCTCCCGTGAGCTCATGCCACATTTTGGCAGCGGTAAGGTTGGCGGGCCGTGAGCAGATGGCGTCACGGTATTCCGGGGTCATGGCGTCCTCGGGCCGGACGAACCCGATGGCGATGTTGAATTCTTTGAGGGTGGAGGTTTGGTATTGCCCACCCATAAAGTATGTTACCATCTTGGTGGGCTGTAGGCCCGGGACCGTGGAGGGGCTCTCAGAGTAGGAGACGGAGGCTAGGAACTCCAGCACCGTCTGCGGGTATACGTGTGTAGGTGGTGGTTGTAGCAGGAAGCCCCACCCGATGCTATCTAAATGGGCCCGGACATCGTCCTCCCATCCGAACTCAGCTAGGATGTTGAAATCCAGCTTGAGCATTGGGTGCCACTAGTAGGTCCGGATATTTTCAAGGCGGGCCTGGTGCTGTGGTGTCATTTGAGAAGGGTCCTGTGATGGTGGTGCCGCAGAACTACTGGCACCGGCGGTGCTCCTTCTCTTCCTGGAAGTGCTTCTGCCAGACATTTTGACCAGAGGATACTTGGGAGTGCAGGAGTTGAGAGAAAGGAAGTTCTGGAGGCAAGGGGAGTTGTGTGGAAGTCCCCAAGCGCGCCCCCTATATATAGGGAATTTTTCAAAATCGAGATCGCCGTCTGGGTGGGCGAGACGGCGGTCTCGTGTCTCCTTCAAGTCGAGACGACGGTCTGATCCATCGAGACGGCGGTCTCGACGTTTGGCTAAAGCGAGACGACGGTCTCGTTGAGCGAGACGGCGGTCTCGTTTTTGCCTGCGTTGAGACGGCAGTCTGGGTGGTCCAGACGGAGGTCTCGTCTTGTTGGGTAACCGAGACGGCGGTCTGGGATAACCAGACGGCGGTCTCGAATTACGGAAGAGATTTTTTATTTTTTGTATTTTTATTGTTGTTTTTTTTTTGTTTTTTGTTTTTGAAGAGGTAATAGGACCTGGTCTAAAAACATTTTATGCATGCAATGTTTTTATGTTTTGATGTCCTATTATGCCTATTTTGATTAAGTTTTCAGAAGGATTTAACCGACGTGTCTTGTTGTGCTGAAAGCCTTCTGATTCGCTGCGTTTATTCTTGGCTGTACCATGCCGGACTTCTTGTGATCGAAGGGTAATTTCTTTCTTTCTCTTCTTTCTTTTTTCTTCTTTGTTTTTTCTTT